GGAAAAGCGATGCTCCGCAACTTCGAGATGAGTATAGAACGTACAAAGTCCTCGTTGGGTGTCGTAAGTAAAACGAATTGGAAACACAGCTTCAGAAGACTCGGTTACTGATACTGTCTCGCGATAGCTGGCATACCCAATGTCTACTACTTTGGCCAGGAGGGTCTTCACAACATCCTTGTCATCGACCTCTTAGGACCAAGCCTAGAGGATCTCTTCGATCACTGCAATCGAAGGTTTTCGATAAAGACGGTAGTCATGGTGGCCAAACAAATGGTACGCATCAAATTCCCAAAAACGTTAATTAATTGAGGAATCCCGCTAACTGTCCTTGCTTCATTTAGCTTTCAAGAGTGCAGACGATACACGAAAAGAACTTGATCTATAGAGATATAAAACCCGACAACTTCCTCATTGGTAGACCAAATTCCAAAGCGGCCAACGTCATCCACGTTGTTGATTTTGGAATGGCGAAACAGTATAGAGATCCCAAGACCAAACAACATATTCCTTACCGGGAACGCAAGTCCCTCTCGGGCACTGCAAGATACATGAGTATTAACACCCATCTCGGGAGAGAACAGTCACGGCGAGATGATCTTGAAGCCCTGGGCCATGTTTTCATGTACTTTCTAAGGGGAGGTTTGCCATGGCAGGGTCTGAAAGCCGCCACTAACAAACAAAAATATGAAAAGATTGGTGAGAAGAAGCAGACGACTGCGGTGAAAGATCTGTGTGATGGATATCCTGGTATGCAAGACTAATCACCGTATTATCCCAGTCTTTTTTTTGTCAATCGAGCGATACTGACAAACTGTTTCAGAGGAATTCAATAAATACTTGACCTGTGTCCGTAATCTGGGATTCGAGGATACCCCTGATTATGATTACTTGCGCGACCTCTTCACCCAGGCATTGAAGAATACTGGAGAGGTAGAAGACGGCGAGTATGACTGGATGAAGTTAAATGGCGGAAGAGGTTGGGAAGCTGCCAAACAATATCCTCCTCAACATCATCTCCATGCGTCCAACGCTCAGAACACATCAGCTCGTGATATTCATGGAGTACCACCTCCTAGGGGCCCGCATAGGCCAGGTGTAACAGCTGACCGTTTAAACGCCGCGCAACCCCCGCCCCCATCTCCCGCGAAACAGGGAGTGGGGAAAGTGCGCGAGCGGCAAAACGCCTCCGGCGGGCCGCAAGTCAAACGACAGAACGGAGTAGCGGGGGGTCTTGAGACAACACCGGCTGCATCCACTCAGGCTCAATTTCAAAACTCCAATGCTCATCTTCCAGGCCGCATATCTACTCCGGGTAATCATGGCATGAATACCATGCCGACACAACAAATGCGGCCAGCACAAGACCCGGAACCAACGTTTATACAGAAACTCATGAAGGCTTTATGCTGTGGTATGTATACACCGTCTCCCCCACTGTGTTCTGTGTAAAAATCCTATATTTTCTTTTTTTTAACTTCGTCCGTAGGTTGAAATTCACTTACTATATACATGGATTCATTGCGCTTCGGCGTTCTACCCCAACCTTGCACGCGCTCTCATTTAAATTAACCCCACCCTACCATCTCCAGCCGATGGAGCTATTTTAATTGCCATCGGTATTTTACCTGTCTGTATTTACAGCTTTTCTCGGCTCCTGCTGGACTAATTGCATAGCTACGCCCCACTTACGACAATGGGCCACGATGGAGTTTATATTTCGTTTGTACTAATTTCCCAGTCTTTATTTTTCCTCCTTTTAAAATTCTGCTAAAAATCACACTATATTTCCCACCTCAAAACTCTTCGATCGATTTCCGGAGTTTCGTGCCAAACAAATATCGTTTTTGTCATTTTCGTAGCGTACTTTTTGGCTCCCCTTGGCCTCTTGCTCTCACAGCTATCCAGCTCTCCTTCGCTTCTCCCGAAATAATATGTCCAACCCTCCCACGTTCTGTGTGTTAACGGATCCCCTTGTCCTAACCGCACGTTCTGTTTTCATTAAGCGAACGCGAAATGTCTCCTTTTCCTTTCCTTTTTCCTCTCATTTTTCCTTTCTTTCTTGAAAACCGAACATCCACTGATTTGCGACCATATTTTTACTTTTCCTTGTTTAATAATAGATTTGTGCTTTTTTATTTGCTCCTCATCGCACTTTTGTTTCCACTATCAGCGGCCGCCACAATTCACACAACAACCCTTCTTTATCAAAGGGCTTTATGATTCACATTCTATTCGCATCAGCACCCAACAGTTTTTGCCGTGCTGCTGTGTCCACTTGTCGATTCCGGGGCCATGGCTAACTAATCGAAGCAAAACTGAATTAAGCGTTCTTTAACTCCTACGTTTGAACGAAATAGTTGTTAGTTGGAAAGCTAACTAACTATTCTTGTCACAAACCCACTTGCAATGCGTCGATTGATTTTGAAAGATGAGAAATGGCTTCTTGTATATAGCCTGAATATGAAGGCTTCTTTGTTGGATTATAACCTGATGGATTGATAAGATCATTGCCAGCATTGTTGTCATCGTCATGGGCGTCCTTAATACATTATATATAACAGCTGCCGTTCCACAGCAGCCGTGTATGGGGAGCCTTGTTTGTATCTTTTATTTTTCGTTTACTCCGTGGAAGTTGTTTTATTTCTTGCTTTCCCTTTGTGGTTCCATCGTCTATTTTCGTCCATTTTTCCTAGCTCATTTCTCTATCTATCTTTTATATATTTTTTATCTGTCTCCCATCATTTCTCCTGCATTTCTCGCTGTGCTGTCTTGTATCCGATTTCTGGCCCCCGCGCCTTTGCACGGTGCCCTTAGTTAGCGTTCCTCGTTTTCGATTTTACTTCTTTTACGTTATTATATTATATTATTTTCCCTGTTCCTTGCTCCTGCTGTTTTCTTCATCGCGTTGTTCTGAGAATAACCAGTACTTGACCAGTTTGAGTTTCGTTTTTTGTTTTGGTAAAATGAGAGAAAAAGACGGAGAGAGCACGCTACACACATACATCACAGAAAGGAAAAAGAAAAGAAAGACAGAAAAGAGCTGCACAGCCAAACAGGATGAACAAGATGCAATAGGATAAAGAACTTTTCAGTTTATTTAATTTATTATATCTCCATATTTTATCGGCGGAAGGGAGGTTTACCCAATTGATGCCACTCTGCATTGCTGTGTTCAATGCTTTCCAGGGTTGTTTCTTCGTGTCTCTTTTTAGAAAATGGTTATCTATCTATTTATTACCTGGACAAAGTAAGCTTTTCGTCTTCGCTTCAGATGCTTTTACTTCTGCATGAAACCTCAAGTCCGTGCCTAATCGAGGAAATACCACTCTTGCTCCGATTGCGAACGGAAGAAAGGAGGAGATTGATAACTTCCCAGGAGACCTTACCATGTGGGATCAACTGACCGGTGTGAAACGGCCTATTTTTTTTTCTTTTCTTTTTTTGTTTACCTAGTCCTAATTCTACCACTAAACTGTAATTTTATCAAAAGCTAACCAGATCACCAGTTTAATGTTTCGTCTCGCAAGGGAACTCGAGAAAAGGTTGCAATCAATTCCGCCAAATATGCGGGATGCCACCACCTCGTTTCTAATGCGAGTCGGAATTGGAGAGGATTGGTTTCCTCTTCCATTCTCTAGTAGACTCGGGAGAGTCAACATGCCCATGAATAGCTGGCTTTTTGGTCTGATTTGGGGGAACCTCTAGCTATCCCCGATGATATGGCTACTTCACCCATTTCCGGATTGGGAGACTTGCTCATTAAAATTGATATGGGGACTTCATCGGGTTAATAATACCGTTTTTGTCATGAGACCAGGCAATTCGATAACCCGAATAGAACTTTGGCAGCGAAGTGACCACCCTTGCTAGTTCCCTTCCCCAGAGATACTCGAGCAGTTATCCAAATCCATCACAAATTCACCGCCACCAGAAGCACATTCCAATGACTCTCGCTTTATCTACTTCTACCAAGCCCGTATAATACTAAAAGCCGTTAATCGTGTGTTTAGCAATGAAGCCTTGCTGCTGGCCTGCCGACTTTTCAGCGGGAAAACGGGTATGAAACCCTAACGACTACGAAGCTAAACAAGATCATTGATCTGAATTTGATCCTCCTCTTATTCTCATTACAATTTGACTGTATTTGAGCAGTGGGTTGCCCGATGCATGGTGTTGCATATGCTGAGCAGAAATATTGACGGACTGTGTATCGGATATATCTGGTTCATCTGGTCTCATCGATTGCAATAATAGGTGCCTGAATGAATGGAAATGAGGATTTGAGGGAGATTTTTCAGCTGATTGATGATTTTTGTCTGAAAGAGAAAGTTGAATATTGGAGAGAAGATGAAATGTGGCAGACAGAGGACAAATTGCAAGATATCATATCTATTATCTTAATATCGCTTTTTCACTTCTCAAATGATAACTGCGTTCACACCTCAATTGTGGAAATAAAACCAGACTCTATTTTTCCAATTGAATGGTATGTGGTCCATACAAATGCTATAGAAGATAATCACACATATAATACATTTATATATACAGATCAAGTCAAAACTCCCATGCCTTGATATGCCCCCTCAAGAAGATATGCATTCATCCTCAAACCACATATTTCCTCAATATTAACATTTTTACCAGATTTCTTTTCTCTTCAAACGCCCTGGACCAAATATTTTCTCCCGTAGGGGATGGTTACCTTACTAAACCCATCTCATATCACAACTCCGCAACGTTTACATCAGCGAAATTGACGGGCCCATTCGAGCTGACTGCGGCGACGCCGACCCTATAATTTCTGTTGACACCTGAAGCGCTCAGATGACCACACCTGGTATACGGGCTTGCACAGCTGATGACGCAGACTTCCTGGAGGGTGTCTTGATCGACCCGGTCGAACGAGCCCTGGGTGCCAATTGGTGCACCTTACCTGCCACAGCTGTACACATCGCCCAAGCCGGACTCTGGTACCACGATCTCATCGACTTGGTTGGTAGAGATTTGATCGTCCTTGTCGTCGTTGGCATAGATAGAATTTTCCCACTGTGCGAGGGCTGAGGGAGAGGCAAATAGCGCATCAAACCAGCGGGGTCGGCTTATCTTCTCACTCACTATCTTTCCATCTTTATGAAAGCATTACCCGGGGAGCTATATGGTTAGTAGGACATTTAATTGCATACAGTCGCAGCTGAGAATTTTGAGTTGCGAGGGGCCCTTCAAGATCGTTTGTTAAATGCATGTTAATACAGTTGTCGTACCCCATTGTGGCAATGAGGTTTGAAATATATGTATGAATGAAACTAACTGGTTTGATTTGTCTGGCAAGCACGGGGAGTCAGGCTGCGATTTTGAACGAGGAAACAGATGCCTGGGGATTCTTTGATATTGATCAATATGCAAGGAGCAAACGTTTTTTTCACATTAATGCCCTACGAGCCGACTCCTTTTCCGGATCGCAAAGAAAGGTCAGACTGCGTTAGTCCACGTTTGAATTCAATTCTGGTTTCCAAGAGAATGGGAGCATATAGCCTGAGAGTTTCCGCGACAAATCCGTCTTTGATTTTACCTTCTTGTGTCTTTCCTGGTTGCTTGAACCTAAATTTAAACACGCATCTATGCCAATATATGGGGGTAGCTGCTCCTCATATCAACGTGGATGATGCCTTCCCCGAGTCCACTCCTAACAGGTTCTGAAAAGCGTTTGGTTATCATCCGAGGGTAAAATAAAAGTAGGTTTCCCCCAAATCGAGATCGAGCAGCAGGGTGGGATGGAGACGTGCAGCAATCAGAAAGCAGAGCCATATATTTCAATATGGCAGAAATACTCTGGATTTCAACCCATTCCATAAAGTTTACAAAACAATATGTATGCTAGTTGGCAGGGTACAATCCATGCCACGAGGCTCCTCAAAAGAGGTTCTCAGAAACAGTGGGAAATTGAGGGTACGTAGCGGGGACTATTCTCTTTGAGGCCTTGTATGTTGATGGACCCAAATGCCGTATCAGCTGCTGTACAGGCATCACTAGGCAATCTTTCAACGCTCTAACTTACAGCTAGATATGGCAACTGTAATGTTGCTATTGACGGGAATAACTGAAGAATATTGGCTTCAGTCCAATCATCATTCCGATTCCAGAGGATATTGCAACCTGCTGATGTTCCTCAACGAACATTGGAACCGAAGGTCTTCATCGTGAAAGCATTATGCCCTTGCTTCCTGTCAACATTGAGGATTGATTTCTCTTTCCGATGTTTCCTTGCTCGCGTACGCTCATTCAAGCGATATGCGTTGCTGATCGGAGTTGGTGCCTGAGGACGAGTATTGGGCTTGCACGTACTTTTTGAAACCAAACAGGGCTTCTTTTGGAAAATGGGCTCCTTAAAATGGAGCTGTGGCAACCTCTCCTTCCCCAGTTTGCTGCGAGGACATATGTTCGTCTCTGGATGTTGTCTAAACACATTCGTATTTCTAAACTCGACTGAGGTCATCCGTATTCTCAAAACATATATATATCCTATTACCGTTATCTCCAGCTTTCGGAGGCAGCGCAAATAGAAAACAACGACACGGGGAAGAGAAGGAAAGGAGAAACCACTGCGACCCAAGTTCATGTCGTGGAGAGATCTTCCCCAACTCGAGATTTAGCCTCGCTGGCGCTGAGTTAGACATCCTAACGACAAGGGCGTGGTATGGATTTCAACGACAATCCATTTCCATCCTCAAAATATCACTCGCCCAAAGCCAATAGCACAGTTTTGACAATTGACTGACTGACTCTTTCCAGGAATACGAATGAATATGTTCAAATATTTAGCAGATGCGACTTCGATCAGCCTGAAGATATCTGTTATAGATAACCCATTATCTTACTGCCATTACCACCATGGACTCTCTCATCGGGTCCAATCCTGGTGAAACTTCATCAAAATCAGCCCTGCGCTGGCTAGCAGCTGCATGGTGCCTGGGATCTGTGTCGTTCCTTGATGATAAAACGCATTCATGGCCACTCGGCAGAAGTACAAAAAAGTACCCTGGTTATCCCTCCTGCATAAAAAGGAGATATGTTAATAAATTAGAAGAGCGCAGATTGGGATTGGATAGCTCACATTTGGGATCAACCAGGAGCGCCAAATCAATCGAGTGGGATGATATATATTTGATACAAGCTACGTCCCCAATTTTCCTTGATAAGGGGGGGTGTGCTGATATTTTGAACGTATGTCGCAAGATTCCTAGGCCTGACTCTCATACTGGAGAATTCACGCCACTATTTGGCACTCAAATGGATGATATCTATGAGCCATCGAAGTCGTATCGTCTATTTTGAAAAGATGGTGGGATGGTGGGATTCCCCGGCATCCCTATACTGATATGCCCGTTGGGAGGACGTGTTCAACAGCTTATTACATATTTGGAGGCCCCTTTTCTATTTCTTTTTCTCCTCTTCTTTTCCTTCTTCTCTTCTCTTTGAGACTAGATGATATTTAGAGTCAGGTAGGATATAAAATTGGTGCAAGGTGTGATCGATAGGAAACCCTTAAATATGGTGGGCCTAGAATTTCGCTTATGGGCAGAATGTTTACACAACGACGGAAAGTTCGAATGGGAAATATCCACAAAGTGATGAATATGAGCTCATCTACTTGGATGGTACTGCGATTTAAGGAACTAATCAAGTGGTAACACGTAGTGCGACACTTCCCGTATCCTACTACTACTGTGCGTGCATGTCAGCTCAGGCCCCTGTTTTCACATATTCCCGAGGATTTTAAAGGATGGAACTTCTCCTGCATGTATGTATTGAAGTGATCGTTTATATCAGAAGCATTACATAGTAGATCAATATGACAGTGAGCTTCCATTAATACAGCGATGACAGAAAGCAGAAAAAAAAAAGTGTTTTTCATAGTACACAATTCGTTTGCAAGCGATTGTACGGAGTATACAGCTACGAGTGACCAAGAAGATGATTACCCCCATCTGCTAACACTCTTCTTCTCTGTATTTCACCTTTATACCCTGATGAGCCAGGCGGTGTGCTGCGTGCTCAATATGGAGGATACCAACCGATGCCCGCTTTCCCCTCATTATTAATATATGGAGAAGACAACATGTTTATTTATGGCCAATCAAACATCCGTCCGCAACATCCCTTGACTGCTCCGCGAGTGTCCTCGTTACGGCGCAAAATGAAATCCATATGCAAGCATGTAATCCTGCGCACAACGTGTCGGTTGAAGGGTACTCCGTACGTATTCATGCATCCCGCATGCATTCACACACGTTTCTTAGTACCCCATGTAGCTAGCATTCATCAGTTGCATCTGTCGTCATCCATTCCCTTCCAGGAAGGGGGACGGAAAGTTCCCGATTCTCATTTCCGTTTCGCTTCTCACGAAGAAAACCTTGATTTTTGACTTTATTTTTGTAAGAGTAAAGAAAGTCAGGCCAATTGCCGACAGTGATGAATAACAAACAGGACTCCCCGATACGGCGTTTCTGTGTCTCTCTTCTTTCAAGCGCAATGCATGTGCGGGCCCTGGGATAACGGGGATCAAAGCTCACCACGTACCCGCGTCCAAGCATGTTTCTATACGAACCTATACTGATCATCCGTCGCATGGCGGGACGCCAAAGCTCGCCTGCTGAACGCTTTTATTTGTCCGCACAGGGACTGTCCAAACATGTACTGTACCTCTCTCCGATGATACGAATCCGAGGAAGAGGAAAAAGAATCGGGGTCTTCGCTTTAACTCACAGACAAAAAAAAAAATTCGCCCCTTGGCTTTCTTAAGTGCCGGTGGTGGTGGGGTGGTGGGGGGGCGGCCAGTAAGTACATGTACATGTACATAAACATACAAAGTACATGCTCCTCTCCCTTGCAACCTCCTCCATCATACATAGCCACTGCGAGTCATACGAAACGAAAATGTCCCCGATTTTGCCACCCGCCCCGGCTCCCATTGTTCGTCATCCACGGCAGCCTGCGCGGAGAACATCCCTGGCCCTGGAAAGAAGCTCAACTTCTTCCCGCCTCCCGTTTTTCCGCCCCTGTGATCCCCCCCCCCCCCCCGGGGTCACCACAGCCCAGGCCCAGTTTCCGCCTTCCCGCTCTCCTTTTCCTTCCGATTTACACTTTTTTGCCTTTCGCTTACAGGTACGCCTTATCGGGGAGGGAGCCGCTCATCTAAACTTCCCCTTATAAAATTGCGAGTCATCATGGGCTTGTGCATTATTTGCACACGTGGGCCGGATAGGAGATGCTCCTGCCAAGGTCAAATATGTAAAAAAAAAAAAAGTTGTGTTTCTTTTACTTTTCAAGGTTAGATTTCCTTGCTTGCCAAATTCCCGGGTATTCGGGGATTGCTTTCGGGAGTCTTTAACCAAGATCGAGAAAACGGCATGTCGAAAAAATGCAAGTCGGGACGAATGCCTGTGTTTTCGCGTTATTGATGCGTGTCACCGGCAAAGGATTGGCGCATGAAGGCAAATTTTTCTTCCGGCGGGGGTGGGGGGAGAGGATAACAAGGAATAACTATTGAGAGAACCAACATCAACATCAAAAATTGAAGGGTAAGTGGATTAATTTTAAAGTTTCGGAAATTTGCAGGCAAAAGAACTTTGCTTGAGAGACAAGAGTTTTTTAACTTGCGTACAGGCGCATTTCAGGTACGCATTCGCTCCGCGGTAAATATAATTTTGTCCCTATCCTTGAACCAAAGCGATCTTCATTTGGCCTCTTCACTCATCCCTCTGCTCCTGTGTAATCTCCGTTCGTCAGATCTCCATCCATGCTAGCAGCAATGCTTAGGGCGAACCCCACCCACGTCGCCACGAATTTTCTAGAAGGATTCTAGAAGCCTTCCGCGTGACTGAAGTCTCAGGTCTGTATATTAAAAAATAAAAAACAAACATTTTCGTCCTGGGAAAAGTGGCTTGTTTGTTATGATGTCACGTATTCGTACATTATATGGACATTACATCGCGTTATGTTGTAGTTGCATTTTTCTCTTGACGGAGGAGGAAGAAGGGGAAGCAGACGCCTTGCAGCTGGATGCACGTAAAATACAGCTGCTGATGGCTGATTGGCAGGCTTCTGGAATTTCCGTGGTGCAACACGGGTATTGTAATGTATTACTGGTATCGCTCATACCCTGCGCCGCTAGTATTCGTGTACGCAGTACGGAGTATGTATGTTCGTATGTCCGTATGGGCGTTTACATGTAATCCCCATAGGGCTCAGCGCTCTCTGGCGCCGAATTCCTGTCCTGATACTGACGAAGAGGAGCGCCTAATTTCCGAGGGAGCGACAAGCTCTCCAAGAAGGATGGAATGTCGGGAATGTGTTCTCTTCCCAAGCCCTATTGACGGTCGATTTAATTGGGCTTCCGCTTGAAAAAAAACACCCGTCGCATTTGGGGTTGGGAGCTTTCTCTCCTGGCTTACAGCCAATAAATACGGCAATCTGAGGGGGGAAATGTGATCTATTCGAAAAAAGAAAGATATCCTACCACAAATCAATAATTATCATGTTTGGCGGTGTTCTGTTCTTGTTGGGTGGTTTTGTTTTCTTTCCTTTTTTCTCAGTCTTCCTCCCCCTCTTTTCTTCTTCGGTCCCTGTGCTTCCTTGCTTTTGTTCGTTCCTTCTTTCAATGTTCTGGCTAGGATCTTAGCCTTCTCTCGATTTCTCCGAAATCGGCCTGTGGCGCGCATATACGGGGTGAATGCATGAAGAATAACGACGACGATGGTTGAATGAGCTCCAAGGCGTGACATCCCAAATAATAGCAGCGCCTTCTTTCCTCCGCTTCCTCCTCCTCCTCTTCTATCCATTATCATGATTTAATATTTATTTTCGCTCGCCCCATTTCCACTGCTCGGTTCGTGTCCTAGTAGCTATATACGGGGGGGGGAAGAGGGGGGGGGGTGGGGTTCTAAACCAAAGC